GCTCTAGAGTCGAGGGTGAGGCGAAGTTCAAAGCGCGTCTTACGGGGATAGTCTCCGGTCCAAGCATGTTTGTTGGAGTGAGGTCATCTCTCTGCGTGGTTTCATCAGTGACTATCGGAGGGTCTTTCATCACGCCCACCATGGATGTGTTTAAGTATTCCCACAGACGGCGCCAATTGTGGAAAAGTGGTTTGGAAATACTCTTCTGATCCTGGGGGACGCCAGTGATCCTCTGCTAGTCACCTGAAAAGGAATAAACACTCCGTCGGAGGTGCCGGAATTAGCACTCCGACGGGCAAGTCAGTCTCTACACTCAGGATTACTTGTATTCTAAGTTAAGCATAATAGTTCTCACATACCTTTCTCTGACTAAGGATTTTGTATTTATAGTATTCTCTTTGGGCCTTAGGGCCTGGCCCAACCCTGATCTTTTACATTTACTTCTACTCGGCCTTTGTTCTACTGATAGGAATGCTTGCCGGCTATTTTATTCGGCTCTTCAATTGAATAGGGTCAATGCCGAATAGAGGTTATGCTCTGGATCGGACTGGTCCACTCGTCTGTTGATCCAAGATTATTCGGCTCCCACAATGGCTATAAAGGTTCAAAAGGCCAAAAGGCTCAAAAGGTTCAAGTGGAAGATATTCAAATTTGTAATGATAGAGTGGAAGATATTCAAATTGGTAATGATAGAAGTACAACGGCTATAAACGGCTATAAATTCAAATGAATACAACGGCTATAAATGGCTATAAACGACTATAATTTTCATTATATATACCAAAGCCTCTAATATAAACAAGTTACAAAAAACCTGAAAATATTCTTTGATCTATAATCACTCACATCTATTCTCAGAAATTATACACTGAGCCTTATAGCTTTAAGCCCATCTTTCCTGTGTGAGATTTATAGAAAAATCAAAGTTTCATTTTATATATCTATCTTTGAGAGATATTTATTGTAAGCTTTCTTTGAAAGCAAAAATACTATTTCATCTTGTAAAAGTGTTGCAAACACTGTGTTCTTGAAATCTTGAGAGTGGTTGTGAATCACCTAAGATTTGCAAGGGCTTGGGCTTGTGAAGTCTGTGTAAAATCTTTGAAGGATTGCTCCATTTGTAAAGAGGTTGCTAGCACCCCTGTAAAGTTAGAAGATAGTGAAAAATCTTAAGTGAAACTTGAGAAGTGGACGTAGGCCAAGTTGAAGCCGAACCACTATAAATTTATTTGCCTCTCTCTCCCTTATCTCTTTATTTTATTTTAAATTGCCATAGCTATATTTCACATTTTTACTGTGCTAAAATCATTAACTGACATAGTTGTTAAGACACTTGTTTTAATTATTTTTATTTCATTAATTATATTTATCTATTGTGCTAGTCATAATTTTTATTAAGGTATTATTAATTTTAATTGTAAAAACCTAATTCACCCCCCCTCTTAGGTTTTTTCTTGGGTAACATATTTATTATATAGCATATATATGAATATATCATTCAAAGATAATAAAAAAAATATAATAGAACACTTATTTTATAAATTTACATTATTTTCTCTTTCATTATTGTATCCTAAGTTATCTAGTTTAAACTTATAATTAGTTTCATATGTATCTAATTAGTGAATACATGTGTTTAATCAAAGGATAGAAGTGTCTTAAAATTGTTGGATTTAAAAAATTTTTTAAAAAATAAGATGTGTTTTGACGCGTGTTAGACACATATTATGAAGTGTCCAATGAATGCTGGTGTTCGACACGGACACAATACGAACACGACACGGATATACGAACACGACACGGCCTCTTTATCAAATGAATGTTAAGAATGCTTTTCTTAATGGCCATCTCATTGAGGAGATTTATATGCGTTTCCCCCTGGCCTTCTTCATTCCACTAGACAAGTTTGTCGGCTTCGGCGTGCTCTATATTGTTTGAAGCAATCTCCTCTTACTTGGTATAATCACTTTCAGACAGTTGTTACTGAGCTTGAGTTTCATCCTTGTGCCCAAGACTCTACTTTGTTTCTCCTTTACAAATCTACTGGTTTTATTGCCTTATTACTGTATGTGGATGATATGATCATCACTGGCTTTGATTGTTCTGTTATCTCTGAGGTCAATCAACATCTCTTTCGCACCTTTGAAATGAAGAATCTGGGCCCATTGCGGTATTTTCTTAATAATGAAGTAGCTTATTCTCCCAAAGGCTATTTTTTATCTCAGGCCAAGTATGCCAATGAGGTTACTCATCGTGTCGGTCTTACTGACGCTAAGACTTCTGATACCCCCATTAAGCTTAGTGTAAAGCTCAACACTACTGATGGTATTCCTCTGGATGATTCTACTTTATATCAAGAGCTTGTGGGTTGCTTAGTCTATCTAATGGTTACTCATACTGATCTTGTCTATGTTGTTTATGTGGTAGCCAGTTTGTTATTGCTCTTCGCTCCACAAATTAGGCTGCATTGGTTCGGATTCTTCGCTATCTCCGAGGTACTATATTTTAGGGTTTACTATTGTCCTCTACTTTCTCTTTAGACTTGATGGCCTATGCTGATTCTGATTAGACTGGTGATGTTACTAATCGCAAGTCCACATCTGGGTTTTGTATGTTTCTTGGCGATTCTTTGATCTCTTAGAAAAGCAAGAAACAAATTGTTGTTGCTAGCTCTACTACCAAAGCTGAGTATTGTGCTCTTCCTCATGCTACTGCTGAGATTATTTGGCTTTGTTGTCTTTTATCTGATTTGGGTGTCCTTTAATCTTCTCCGATCTCCTTTTACTGTGACAACTGCAGTGCTACTCAGATTGTCCATAACACTATCTGCCATGAGCAGACGAAGCACATTGAGATTGATTGTCACTTGTCCGCCAGCATCTACAGTCTGACTCTATCTCGCTTCCTTTCGTCTATTCGGCTCTGCAACTTGCTGACTTATTTACCAAGACTCACACTACTGCTCGATTTTAGTTTCTTCTTGGCAAACTCTCAGTGTTTTTTGCTAAAACACCTTGAGTTTGAGCAGGGGTGAGAGAATATTAGATTTTATGATATATGGTAGTATATATATTCTGTGTATATATATTAGGGATTAAGTGAATATTTTTGTTTCCTTTTCAGTTCCAGGTTTAGATTGTTATATAAACCGATGTATTCTTGTATTACAAACACACAATTGAATATACAGATTCTTCAAAAATCTTACAACTACCCCGACCCCCACCCCCACCTCCATTTCCGCCGCTTGCCCCACCTCCAACCTAACCCTCATGGGGCTCTTCCCCACCACGACCTTACCTGATCCACAACACAATAAGAAATTTAACAATAATATTAAAATTTAATAATTAAAACTAGAAAATGCTATTTATAATTAAAAATATATATGTATTATATATTGTACATATAATCCACCCCAACTTTGTAACATACCTAGCCAATAAAACAAAATATCACATCAAACTCATAATCATTTTTCTCTCACAAACGTCACATCCAACTACAAAAAAATCTAACCATCTTCCCAAATACAAAAAATTTAGCCTACTAAAGTAGTCAAAAACTAAAATAGCTTACTAAAATAGCCAACTTTCCTAACGAGGCCATTATATATATAACATTTTTTTTTTTGGATATATAATCGAACTTTATTAAAAAGCATCAAGACGATGCAAAGAATACAAAAAGTCAGCCCACAAAGGGCCTGAACAATACTAACTAAGCAAATTCTCCACAAAATCTACAAAAACCAAAACATTCAAATCAACCGAACTCGTAACCCAACTATGCAACACCATCAACAACCTACTCTCTAACCATGATACGGAATAGCATACATCCTAAAAAATTTGCCTATTTTGCTCCAACCACACTAACCAAAACAAACAATGGGATGCAAGTACCCAAGCCTTCCGACGCCTCTTCCCCACCCTAGCCTCATCCCAACTTTGTAACACACCTAGCACAGACCCCGGTTGCACCCAAACCAAACCAAACAAAGCAACAATGAAACTCCAAAGTCGAGATGCAACTGGGCAATGAAGAAGCAAGTGATCCACCGTTTCCGCATCCTTACAGCACATGCAACATCAGTTAACCTGAACATGCCTCTGCCAGAATAAATTGTCAATAGTTAAAATATGTCCCAAAGCAGCTGTCCAAACAAAAAAAGCACCTTAGATGGTGATCTCATCACCCAAATACACTTTTATGGAAACACAACAGCACTACCCCCTCCCTCACCAACACACCACACCATAAAAAGAAGATACTAGAAAATCCCTTTAAATCTCGGACAATCCCACACCAAAGAATCCACCACATCCCCCCCATACCTCAAACCATACAAACCCCATAAGGTCAACCATCTGATCCAACTCTCAATCCTGCACATCGCTGCAAAGATGAACATTCCAAACAAACAACTGCCCTACCTAACTCTGACAACTCTAACCAAAGCAACCACCTCCTCCCCATCAGCTGTAATAGCATAAATCAAAGGGAACATACTTGCCGAAGATACCTCACTACACCACCTACATTATATATATATATATATATATATATTTTATAAAAATTCAACAATATATTATACACATATTACTTATATATGTAATATTATTATTTATTTATTACTATATTTACAAGTCGGGTAGGGTTCTGGTAGAAAAATACTCTCCCCCACCCTTGACCCAAACCCAATCAAGTTTTTCAAAAGTTTCCCCAAATCCGACCTACCCTATTCAACCAACCCCAAACCCATCCCATTAGGGTCGGGGGAGTCGGGGACCCAATAGATTGGCACATTTTGCCATCCCTACCTGTATCTTAGTTTTAAGATATTTTCATATTACCGTGTCCGTATCTATATCCATGCTTCATAGGACAACCGTAACTAATATTATAAGTATAAATAGCATATCATTGATAAAAATAAATGCAGACCTACAAAATCCAATTTGCAAAACTTCAAATACTAACAAATTTATGATCCTTAATAAAAATACATATATATATATATATATATATGAAATATGTCAATTTTTCATATAACATCAAGATAGTTATGTCACCTTTCCATGAGCAATAACAATTTAACATTTGGAAATGACTGTTCGAGAAATGTCATCACTTCTTCAAGTCCTGAAGATGGCGGTGAAACTCAAATCAAGAAACAAAAATATAAAATAACAAGAGACATACTCAGAGGGAAAAAAATTATAGAATCCTCAATTATTGATTTTCAACTTTAACATGTCAACTTTGATTTTGTTGTCTCTCTTTTTATTTGGGGTAAATTACACTGACCTCCCCCGAGATTTGGAGAAAACACAGTAAGTCCCTCAATTTTTGGCATAATTACACCGACCTCCCATTTAGTAAGGTTAAAGGGTCGAAACTAATGAAGATAGTGTGAAAACATAAAAATAAACAAAGTAGAATATATGTTTCAATGTAAAAGAAATGACAATATTATTTTTTCATCCTTATGACTAGCGAAGTATTGATAAAAATGGAGTTAAGTGTTATGTGAATTAAAACTTTAAGGGAGCTTAATGTAATTATGCCAAATCTCCGGAGCTTATTGTATTTTCTTCAAACCTCAGGGGATATCATTGTAATTTACCCTTTTATTTTTTACCATCTAAACAGTAAGCTGTGATCCAAAGGCAAGCATATTAGATAATGTACTCATGTATCATACTGCCTACCCGGAAAGAAAATGAGATTTTGTTATTACTGTATTGAAAATGGCAGGTAAATATGTTACCTTTGATACGAGGCAGAACAAAGAAAACTTGGCCACCACGGTCCAGCTCATAGTTGATTGCTGATATTACCTTTTCTTTACTGTATGCTGAAAGATGGGTTCTTATGGGAACTCTTTCAGGAGGTGGCGTTGAAATTAAACTGAATGAAAAAGAAAGATGCAAAGGAACGAAGTATAATCTTAGGACCAAAAAGTTGTCACTATGAATCTTTTAATAGGATGAGGTTAGTCGTGGGGCACACCTAAGTTAGTAAAGAACTCATTTTCATATATCAGTTGGCTTTGGTTACTCCTATGATCTTGTACTATAGTTTCTCTAACAAAATTAATCACAACAAACCAGACATATACACTACTTTTGTATCAGTAAACCTTCTATGAAAAGCCTAATACTATGGAACTCATCAATGAACATTGATGAAAATGTGATGGACCTGTCAAGGGATACTGCTATTAAATCCAAACTATTCTGCATTATGTTGTACAAAATTAAAAAAAAATATACTATAATGTTTTAATATATTTAAGTTGCCGATCAAATATACTGCTCTTGTGGCAGATTCCAACACTATCTCTGTGCCAATTGGAATATGCAGGTTAAGTTTGCAAGATTTATATGCTTAAATAGGATAAATTGATCTTTCTAACCACAACCAATATCTTCACATAAATTTTACTTTCATTAATGATATAAATCCACAACTTCCCATAACCCCACAGTTAAGTTAATATGAGAAATAACATAATTGAACTGAAGATACTCTACTCCACAAGTCCATAGCATTACCTAGCATCATGAAACCCAGTCAACGCTAAATAAAGGGTTCTCAGTATAGGTGTTGCAGAAAGTGTGAGGACGTCAACTGAAGTTTTAAATGAAGCAATCTTCTCCTTCTGTTTGACACCAAACCTCTGTAAAGCAAAGAAACATTGCACATGTAAGTCAAGGATCCTTCCATTAGTCAGAGAGAATGCACAGAACTAGAGTGTTCAATTTCCATTCCCCAACACCTTTTTTTTTTGGCACTTTCACAAAGGTGGGAAAGACTCATTATAAAATTAAAGATGAAAGTGTTTCAAATTTTCAATGTTGATTCTAAAATGATTACATATGTTCCTAAGTTTTCTGACTTCATATTGCATAATAATTATTACACATAGGAGACAAGAGACAATAGGAGAGAACACCACCTCTTAGAAAATAGTCATGTGTAATTTATTCATAAGATATTAAGTTGGTCAAACTGATAACCGATGCTAGTAACAGCAACATAGATAACTCATTAAAGTATTCGGCAACTATAAAGTTGAAAAGAAAGCTATCAGTTGCACTCTGGTCCAGTATTCTTCATCTACTAACCCTTCCCCAAACCTAGCCCCACCCAAGGGTTTTCTCCATGTAACATCATATCTCACATTGAAGAACATCACCTTATAAGCTCAATTAGATATAAAGAGAGGAAGGGAAAAAAGAAGACTAATGTAAGTACTTGGATGATGAGATCGACAGGGGACAGCCCTCTCAGAAAATGGTAGACACTAGACATAATGCACAGGACCTTTGAGGTGGATGAGGAGAGAGTGGAGGCACCCAAGAGAGAGAGAGAGAGAGAGAGAGAGAGAGAGAGAGAGAGTTGAAGATCTTTGGCTCGTCAAAGGGAAGCAAGGTGATTGGCTCTCTCTCTCTCAGGTCGATTAAGGTGGAGCCACCCCAAGAGGGAGCAAGTCAAGCATCAACTCTAGCCTCCAAGCCACATGTCTTCTAATGATCTTGAGTGGAGTTCTCAAGCCATGCTCTTAGCCTAGGCATCCTTGGCCATGTTAAGAAATTTTAGTATGACCAAGTCGTGTGGGTGGAGAGTTCTAGTTCAGTGTAGGAGATGACAGCCAAGTAATGTGGAGGTAGTGTGCTCGGTTGGAGAATGACAACACCCAAGGCAAATGAGGGCATGCCATGGTTGGGAACCACTCAACCCAACTGAGGAAGTACCCAAGGATGCCTCACCAAGGTATTCTAGCATCATTACCAAGTGCCATAGCCCAAAGTCTTAGCTTCCCTAGCCTATTATATTTGGTGGAAGAGTGGACAAGGGCCCATCAGCCCACTCATGATTTATACGGCTTGAAAAATACATTTATGCTCATAGGGCTAGGCTGGGCAATTTTTTAGGCGTCCGGATCCTCTAGAGTAACCCTCTAGAGTGATCTCCTAAAGTGGATGATCGGACGGCTCAGAATACTCCTCACCAAAACGACGTCGTTTTGGTGAGGAATTTCAAAAAAAAAAAAAAAAACCAGATTTAGGGATTTGAAAACAACGATTACTCTATGGAAATGCAGATCTGAAATTAGAGAGAGAGAGAGAGAAAGGCTGAGAGTTTCCGACTCGCTACCGTCGCCGCTGCCACTCGCCACTGTTGCCGCTGTCGCTGCCACACCGCTGGGTCACCATCCTCCAACAGATTGAAAGAAAAAACCACAGGTTCGTTCATCCTCTAAACTTCAAATATTAGGGCTTTGATTCCAAAAATTAGGGAAAAATTCAAAAAATATGATCATACGGTTTGATTTGAGACTTTTTACATGATTTATTTCAAATCTATGCTTAGAGGAACCGAACTGTATATATATATATGCATCTGTGTGTAATTTAAATCAAAGAAATGGGCATTTATATATATATATATATATATATGCATCTGTGTGTAGATAACAGTGAGTATGTAACAAAAATTTATGAATATATATTTATATATATATATATTTATCAAAGAAATTTATGAATATATTTATATATTTATATATATATGCATCTGTGTGTAGATAACAGTGAGTATGTAACAAAAATTTATGAATATATATTTATATATATATATATTTATCAAAGAAATTTATGAATATATTTATATATTTATATATATATGCATCTGTGTGTAGATAACAGTGAGTATGTAACAAAAATTTATGAATATATATTTATATATATATATATTTATCAAAGAAATTTATGAATATATTTATATATTTATATATATATGCATCTGTGTGTAGATAACAGTGAGTATGTAACAAAAATTTATGAATATATATTTATATATATATATATTTATCAAAGAAATTTATGAATATATTTATATATTTATATATATATGCATCTGTGTGTAGATAACAGTGAGTATGTAACAAAAATTTATGAATATATATTTATATATATATATATTTATCAAAGAAATTTATGAATATATTTATATATTTATATATATATGCATCTGTGTGTAGATAACAGTGAGTATGTAACAAAAATTTATGAATATATATTTATATATATATATATTTATCAAAGAAATTTATGAATATATTTATATATTTATATATATATGCATCTGTGTGTAGATAACAGTGAGTATGTAACAAAAATTTATGAATATATATTTATATATATATATATTTATCAAAGAAATTTATGAATATATTTATATATTTATATATATATGCATCTGTGTGTAGATAACAGTGAGTATGTAACAAAAATTTATGAATATATATTTATATATATATATATTTATCAAAGAAATTTATGAATATATTTATATATTTATATATATATGCATCTGTGTGTAGATAACAGTGAGTATGTAACAAAAATTTATGAATATATATTTATATATATATATATATATATATATATATTTATGAAAGAAATTTATGAATATATTTATATATATATGCATCTGTGTGTAGATAACAGTATGTAACCCTCTATTTGTATAATTTAATCTGTGTGTAATTTAAATTTAGTATTTCTCTGGTTGATCATAAAATGGGCATTCTCAGTTTGGAAGACAGAGGAATGTAAGAGAAATGTAATTGAGTTTATTTTTTTTTTTAAACCAAACCCAAGTCATACCAACCAGCCCTGCTTGCACACTGTTTTTGAATTGTCAGTTTCCTTCCAAGATTTTAACTCTCTCTGCTACCTCTTCCATAAGAAAAAAACCTCCCTTGTATCCTGTACTATCCATTCTTCATTAGGTTCTTCTCAATAAGATTAGTTTCATACACAGCTTTTGCTTAGCCCACTGAAGAAACATCCTGCACTGTCATCTACTCTGGTAACTTCAGATACTCATTCAAGAATCACACTAGGGACATTTCTCCTATGCTTGTGTTTTACATGAAATGCATGTTTGATCGCACTATAGCAATATTGTTGCTTAGTCAGGTAAGTTGTATGAAGATTGGCTGAGTGCTTCCCTTAGTTCTTATGGGTGTGTTCAAATACCATTAAATTTGCTGCAAAACAGTAATGCACATTTTCAACAAGTACTAATATAGTTGCTCTCACAATTTCCCCTTTGTTTTCAATTTTATTGCTGCTTAAATTTCCCAAGGATTTTGAGTCCATAAACTGTTGGAAGGGCATTCTTTCTTGTAAATGCTTATTGCTTTATGTATAAATAATTGAAGAAGTTTTTTATTCTTTTTTCTTTTTTCTTTTTTCAATTTTCTTTTCCATTCCCCCCCTCTACAAACCCAATATCCTAAGTATTGTTCCACACCTAAACATAAAATGAAATTAAAGATGAAAACAAGTAAAGGTAATGGACAGATTAAACATTGCAAAAGCCTATTGCTTGCTACACTAACAAAGGTAGATTGATAGTTACAAAATTACACTTAGGAAGAATAATTGTCAGAAGCACAAATCCTGAAAAGAATGTCATCTTCTACTAATTGGTAGTTCAATCTGTTGGTATTTTTTATGCAGATAAACAAAGGGCTTCATCTTCCACTAATAATACGAACTTAAAATTAAAGCCAAAGTTTTGTAATTATGGAAGAACAGCTTCCGTGCATATTGTACGAACCAATGCAAATGGAAATAAAGGACGTGTCTATTTTGTTTGCCCAAGAAAATATGTAAGTACCTGTTATATAAATGAATTTGTTACTTTTTACAAATTTTATTTGTCCTTTATTGATTAACTGATTCTTGTCCATTGTAGGCTACGAACGACCACTGCAATTACTTCAGGTGGTTCACAGACGACGACGACGACGACGACATTACCGCATCAACTTCAACCAATGCTGGACCTCGGACAGATTCAACAACAGAAGAAATTAATGATCTGAGGAGAAGGGTTGGTGAGCATGATAGAAGGCTTCAAAAGATGGAGAAGATGTTCAAGGCAATGACTTATGTCATTGTATTTTGTGTATTTTTGTACTTTATCATGTAAATGACTCAGTTGTTAGGTTTTCGAAGATGCTATGAATGTAATCTACTTTTCTACTTGTTTTGTAATTTTTTTTTTGGTGCTTAAAAATGTGATGGCTTGCAAAAACAAGTGTATAACCGGTTTGTTTGAGATGAAATGTGTTGAATGAACAATTTGTGAAATCTATTGAGTTATGTTGGTTGTTTAACAGTGTGTATTATATGTGATGGTTTGAAAAAAACAGGTACATTGATTAACAGTGTGTTGAATGAACAGGTACTTAACAGTGTATTTTTTTGGACAATGGTTGAACATGTTGAATTGAAATGTGTTCAATGAACAGGTTGAAGGAAATCAGTTATTTCTGTGTACATCACTACACTAAAATTCTGATTGATACATATGCAATTGTTGCATGTTTGCACAGTTTATAGGTCAAAATGTTGAATAAATTAAAAGGTGCTTTGGTTTGTGATTGAAAACTCTTAACACGGTTTCAATGTTTGCAATTAATTCATCCGCTTTCTCTACCGTCAAATTATATGTTTCCTCACTTTCAGAAGCTCTACACGCTACTGCTCTGAATATTGCCATCAATGACCTATAGCGTGAAGTTTGATGCAATCTTACATCAACCTGAATATCATGCCCACACCTATCTTTCACATTTTCAGATCTTGCTTTTTTAGTCCATCTCTTCAGAATATATTGTGAAGGAATCTCTTTGAATTTGAGTCTTTCTCTAAGGTTCTTCAAACAATGACTACACAAAATGCCCTTCATTTCAAACTTCCTACAATTGCAAGTGACTGAATCATCACACTCCTGCCTCACCTTCCTCACCTTTATACCATCACTATCAAGAACCGTATAAACGGTACTGTCACCATCATTTTCAATTTCTTCAATGTTTACTTCAAGGGACTTGACATACTCATCCTGAAATTCTTCAAAAATTTTATTTGTGTAAACATTTGCGGCTTGCTCCATAATCTTCACTTTAATGTTCACCCTTGGCAACTTTTGGCATAGAGCATATTCGGCTTGTAACTCTTTGTACCTCTTCTCAGAAAGAACTCGATCAAAATGCAAGAAAAATTGCATTAAGTTATGATCAGACTGAATGAAATCCTTCAAGAAAGCATTAAAGGATTCACTAAGTTGGGTGCTACTCATGCCCGCACCCCATGCATTTCTAACATATGGCCAACCCCATTTTTCCTTGACCCCAAATGTTAACTTCAGCCAATGATTATCTCTTACTTCATACTTGTCAAGCATTTCCTCCCATTTTAAGGTAAACTCCTCCTCATCCTCAATGTCGTACATAAACGTGGATAAAACACTCTTCATCCCCTTATCCTTCACCGCATTATCCTTGAAGATAGAATTTGCATGCCTTAATGCATTTTGCATCAAATGCCAAGTGCAAAGGCGATGGGTTGTGTTAGGCATGACAATAGGTATGGCCTTAGCCATTGCAGCATCCTGATCCGTAAAAATTGTTTTTGGAGCCTTACTTGACATTGCCTCCAAGAATCTTCTAAAAAGCCATACAAAAGAATCGGCGGTCTCATCATACATCAAAGCTGCACCAAATATCACAGTTTCCCTATGATGGTTAAATCCAACAAAAGACGCAAATGGTCTATGTGCACTATTTAACTTGTAAGTAGTGTCGAAAGTCACAACATCACCAAATTGCCCATAATCCATGATCATCTGAGCATCGGCCCAAAATATGTTTGTAATCAGCTCCTCGTTATCTAATTGGACCGAGTAAAAAAAAGATGGATTCTCCAATGATTTGTCACGAAAATATTGCAAAATGCTACCTGCCTCCCCATATGCTAAACTGTTTTGTCTCTTCGTTCTCAAATAATTTTTTTGATCCAGTTTTGTGAACCCAAGCGACTCCCTTCCACCAACTTCATTACCCATGAGCTCAAATGCAGCATTAAGACGGATTCCAGATTTTTTGGCTAAATCTTTTTCGGTTGCCTGTGATTCAGATATCTTCCTTTGGGATGGTAACATATGCGTACATTCTGCTGGTACAAAGATATGATTATGTTGTTCAACAAAATCACTAACAAAAAATTTCTGAATATTCCTATCCCACTTAATGACAACTCGGGCTTGACAACTAGTCCTCACTTCCTGCCTAGGATTTTTTGTTAATGGATCTCGCTTGTCGATAACCCGAAATCCCTCCTTATTACAAACAAATTGCCTTGACTACAAAAAAACTTGTTTTTTGCGACGGTACACGGCCGTCGCAAATGCCCAGAAGCCCGTCGCTAATGTCTTTTGCGACGGTAATTTGGCTTTTTGCGACGGTAAGGGGGGGTCGCGACAGACGGGGTTGCAAAAGACCTTTGGCGACGGTATGTACCGTCGCCATTAGTTTCTGCGACGGTATGCCAAGTTTTTTGCGACGCCATTTATACAAACTAAATTATGGTCTTTGTTATGTATCACAGTGTGGTTTTAAGATGTTCACTATAGCAGGTATTCATTGTTAAATTCATAATTTATATAAAATGGTCTTTAAGATAATACTGTAATTTATACAAAATGGTCTTCAAGATAATACTGTAGGATTTTAAGATGGTCTTTATAGCAGGTTTTAAGAATTTAAGAATTTATATAAAATGGTCTTTCAGATAATACTGTAAGATGTTCACACTGTAATTTATACAAAATAATACAAACTAAATTCAGAATTCATAGCAGGTTTTAAGATGGTCTTTGTTATGTATCATAGTGGGTAATGTGAGACAAACAGAATTTATATAAAAGAACTTCATACAAAGTGATATGGCATCTTTACACTCATTCATTGGAAATCAAAGATCAAAGAGCCAATCACTTTGATTCATATTTGAAAATATGCCACTAACACACAACATCCTGTTTCGATTTTCAATACAAAAGTTCTGCATAATTAGCATTTTTCATTAATTTAGTTCTTCTCCTTTCTGTTTCTGTTTGTTACTTATTATAGTACAATGTACAAGATAGGGACTCAATCTTCACGAAACACCTAAACGCACTGTTATTACATACCCAACCCAACTAAAGCTAATCAATTTAACAGAAACAGACCCAATTACTCAATACAAATAAGCAATTAGACAAACCATAAAAAACAAATTTACATTTTATCAGTCAGTTCAGATTGAGTGATTTGGTGAGGAGTGATCAAAAAAAATAAGCTGCTTTTGTTTGGTTCATGACCAGCTCATTGAAATTCATCTGGGATTGATTTAGAAGAGACCAAAAAAAACAAAATTGACGGGACCCTATCTAACTCTTGTATGGAAGAACTATACCTATCATAACTGGACGGGACCAAAAAAAACTATAACAGTTATAAATAATGCTCAGTTCTTACATTTCAACATATATTAATCGACGGGACCAAAAAAAACATATATTTCAACATTGTATGTAAGAACTATACCTATATACGTTTCAATCGGTTGGAGCAGGGGCGAAAGCAGGGGCGAAGGCCACAACGGTGGCAGGACAGTGGCGACGGCACGACGGCAGTGACAGCGGGGCGACGGGATGCAGGTATCGGCCTCTCTAACTCTTCTTCGATCTCTTGTTTCGCTTCTTCTCTTCCCGCCGTCTGTATAGTTCTTCATCTTCATCTGGGGGGAATTTTGAAATCGTTGAAATCTGAAATTTTTTTTTTTTTTTTTTTTTTTTTTTTTGGAAAAAACTCACCAAAACGATGTCGTTTTGGTGAGTTTTATTGACAGCCGTCCGATCAGCCACTCTAGGAGATCACTCTAGAGGGTTTACTCTAGAGGATCCGCTCGCATTTTTTAGGTCTGTTTACAGTTGTGGGCATGCTTAGGAAGAAGAGTTGAAGCTCAGTTTACAAATTATATATATATATAAAAGCTGGTGCAAGGCACAGGTCAAATGTTAAAATGCAAAAGTTTGTATGAAAAATATAAATTAATTAAATTATTTAAGTTGATTACTTGTGTACTATCTTTTATGAGAGCATAGACGACTTAACCTTTTATAAATTCTAGGCACTAAAATTTAAATGAAGCATTTTATATATTTTAATAAATAAATCATTAAATCAATTAATAGTTTTTAATGATATAAGAAATATTTTTCAATAAATAATTTTGATAATTTTTTTATATTGGCACTAGGTTGTTCGGATCAAAAAGCCTGACTAATCTCCAGGGGTGCACAGGCCCTTGGCAAGGAGTGTTTTACAAGTGTACCACAGTTAATTCAATGGTTTCCCCCCAATCTGATGTCCCCAAGGAATTGTTTACTCCTAAGAGGTTTCGATCCTTAAACCTTGGAGGGAGTACACCCCCAAGACCCAAGGCCTTGCCACTAGGCCAACCTTTTGGGGAATAATTTTGATACTTTTATTGTTGCGTAAGAGAGTAGTTATTTATTTTTATTTTTTTATTTTTTGTTTTGTTGTAATTTCTAGAATTGTAAGGGTGATTGATATTTTAAACAAACCTAATGGGTATATTTGTAATTTATCCAAAAACAAAATATTCAAGTTTCATAACTGACCAAGATTTTGTGCATAATTACGAAAAAAAATCTTCATCTAAATTAGTACGGCCAATATTGGTAAATATTACCAAAAAGAGAGGGCAAAATGGGAAAGAAAATACAAGCCTCCTACACTCAAGCTATTCTTATATAGATAGAGTAGATATAACATATTTATACAAAGACATAATTGTTATTACATATATTCATATTTTATATTATTCAAATTTGTTATTGAAATTGAAAAATAAATTACAAAGAGAATAGTTAAAAAATTCAAGCTTTTAACCTTGAGCTTACAAGAAAACACACAAACCATTTTTCTTGTTGTCTCTACCATAGAATCTTGGAGATAGACATGTTCCTTATGAATGAGAAGACCAAAATTATGACAAAGGACCATTTCTGCAAAGTTTTCCTACACCTGATTGGCTTCACTTACACTAATCAAGGAATTCGTTTCATGATTGACCATCATTTAATTAACAAAAGCATCAGTGTGATTTTTCTCTCTTAATTATATATAGATATGTCACAAGTGATAATAAGTGTGCACAAATATAAACATTAAATGCAAAAAGTACCATAAATAATAGGAAGCCAACATGTTCCTCATCAACCACAAGGAGGCCAAGATTGTTAAATACAACACGACTACCAAGAAGCGAGTGAGTTCCGACAATGATGTCCAAATGCCCGTGTTTAATCATGTGCAGATACTGCTCTTTTTCTACTTTGGTCTGCATGTAGCAAGAGATCTTGTTAATCCCACCATAAAGTAGTAGTTAGTATTATTCCATAATGTTGTCCCAAAGTAAAGCCATGAAATGAGGATCAATTGCACGACGCAAATACTGAAATACAATTGCTAAAGGTTCAGGATGAAGTAATTGTGTGTTTTGATAAGAGAAAAAGGTAGAGGTATGAGTGGTATCTCATCCCTTTTTATATTAAATCATAAGCATAATTACAAGAATGCCCTAAGGCATAAGTAAGAGACCAGCCCATTATAGCAAATAAAGATACCGAATATACATAAGAATAAAACAAGAAATATTCTAACACATTCTAACACCCCCCCTCTCAAGTTGGTACGAAGATATCTCTCATGCCCAACTTGTTGAGAATGTCACGGAATGGTTTATTTCCTAATCCTTTGGTAAGAACATCAGCCAGTTAGTCCCCATACCTCACGAATGGCGTACATATAGTGCCATTAGTGAGCTTTTCCTTAATAAAATGCCTATCAATCTCCACATGCTTAGTTTTGTCATGCTGAATTGGATTATGAGCTATGTTGATTGCGGCCTTGTTGTCACAGAATGGTCGCGTGGAGTCAGTCTGATGGATTCCCAAGTCTCCCAACAATAGTTTAATCCATAGTAACTCACATTCACCCTGAGCTATAGCCCTGAATTCTGCCTTAGCACTAGATCTAGCCATCACATTCTGTTTTTTACTTTGCCATGTGACTAGGTTACCACTCACAAATGTGTAGTATCCGGAAGTTGATCGTCTGTCAGTGATTGAGCCAGCCCAATCTGCATCAGTAAATGCCTCCACACTGAGATGCCATGTTTTGAGAAATAGAGACCCTTTTCAGGAGAAGACTTCAGGTATCTCAAGATTCTCATAACAGCCTTCAAGTGGGAAGTTCTAGGAGCATGCATAAACTGGTTCACTATGCTCACAGCAATGGCAATGTCTGGACGTGAGTGGGATAAGTATATGAGCTTGCCCACTAGTTTCTGGTATCTCCCCCTGTCCACTGGATCTCTCTCTTGATCCTTACTCAGTTTCTGGCCCAGTTCTAGAAGTGTATCACATGGTCTACTTCAAAGTATTCCAGTTTCCTTTAGCAAGTCAAGTACATACTTCCTTTGGCATATGATGATGCCATCCTTGGACCGAGCTATTTCAATGCCCAAAAAATATTTCAAATAGCCTAAGTCTTTGATTTCAAACTCTTTAGCCAAATATTCTTTCAAATGAGGAATCTCCTCAACATCATCTCCTGTCAGAACAATATTATCAACATAGACAATAAGAACTGTGGTCTTACCATGTGAGGAGTGTTTCACAAACAAGGTGTGATCAGCTTGACTTTGCTTGAACCTATATTTCAGCATAGCTTGAGTAAACCTTTCAAACCAAGCCCTAGGAGACTGCTTTAGGCCATAAAGTGACTTTTGGAACCTGCATACTTACCGTTGGACTTAGCATCGGCAAAACCAGGTGGAATATCCATATAGACTTCTTCTGCTAGATCTCCATGAAGAAATGCATTCTTCACATCAAATTGATGAAGGGGTCAATCCAAATTTGCAACAAGAGAGTAAAATTCTTACAGAATTCATCTTAGCAACTGGTACAAATGTCTCTTGGTAATCCACCCATAAGTCTGAGAGAAGCCCTTAGCAACTAGTCTTGCTTTGTATCGTTCTATGGAACCATCTGCTTTATGTTTTACCGTGTACACCCACTTACAACCAACTGGATTTTTGCCGCTAGGTAACTCCACTAACTCCCAAGTGCCACTTTTGCGAAGAGCTCTCACCTCTTCCATCATGGCATGTTTCCATTCAGGAATAGAAAGAGCATCCTAAAAATTGGTAGGTAGACTCATAGAAGACATTTTAGACAGAAAAGTTTTATATGAGGAAGATAAATGAGAATAAGAGACATGATTACTAATAGGATGTTGAGTACAGAACCTAACCCCCTTCCTATTAGCAATGGGAACATCAAGATTGGAAAAAACAGGAATAGAAGTCTAGAATTAGAATTACCTGGACTCTTAGTATAGGTGGGTGACTCTAGACACTCATCCGGAGAAGAAGTTGGCAGTAGAGGAAGAGAAGTAGTCTCTTGCATCTAAGTGACTTGCTGTCTATCCTTGTCCCTGATATAAACTTTGTCTGCTTCCTTTTCCTCAACAATTGTTGGCTCATCATCCACTATCTGTTTAAAGGGATGACTGTGATACCAGGGGGGTCAGAAAATAGGGCTGAGACCTAAAGAAAGTAACATCTATGGAGACAAACCATTTGCGAGTAGGAGGATGATAACATTGATAACCCTTTTTGGTGGTAGAATAACCCAGAAAAACACACTTAAGAGACCGGGGATCCAATTTACCACGAGTGGTTGAATGATTATGGACAAAACAAACATAACCAAAAGTCGTAGGAGGAATGGAGAACTCGGAAGGGGTAAACCCGAACAAAACTTGAAGAGGTGCTTGTTTTTGAAGAACTTGGGTAGGAAGATGATTAATCAAATAAGCGGCAGTGAGAACCGCATCCCCCCAATAGGATCGAGGAACCCGCATCTCAAAGGATAGACTACGGGCGATATCAAGGAGATGGTGATTTTTGAGTTCTGCAACACCATTTTGTTGAGTGAGTTGGTGATCTCCCACTGATCATAACTCGGGTCTGTGGTGAGGGATGCCTGGATTCTGCCATCAACATACCCCATCTTCTCTCTGCTCTTCAAGAAAATAGTCTGACTCTTCGACCACGCTAGATAGTTCTGAGCATTGAATAAAGAAGTGATGATTTTAAGGCTAGGGTTGAGATTATCAGGCATAGTAGAAGGGATAAGGGAACTCTCGCTCTTAGGTGGCTGAGATCTTGTAGACTCACTAGTGAAATCTGCCAATCACAAACTCGAAGATGGTGGAGGAATAGCCAACACTATAACCACAAAGAGATTAGCAAAATAAGTGTTTTTTTATTTTATTTATTTTTTTAATGTAGCATCATTTTTTTTATATATTTTTTATTTTTTGTTTATTTATTTATTTATTTTACTAACCAACCATTAGAAGCACTCCTAATACACCATTACAACTGTATAAGAAAAGAGAGAGAGATGACGCTGAGAGTTGACGACTGTGAGAGAGACAACGCTGCGAGAGAGAGAGTCGGCAGTCAAGAGAGATTCGACGGCTGCCTAGGAGATGCCGACAGAAGCCAACGAAGCTAGAGAGGCTGTCGGCAGGCCCTAGGGTGCCTTACGATGGCCTGGGTGAGGCCCTAGAGTGCCAACAGACCCCCTAGGAGACTGACGATGGCCTAGACGGACTGTGGGATGACAGACGATGGTCTGGGTGAGAGGCTACTGTGACTGACTGGGCTCTTGGGGAAGATAGAGCTGCCGGCAGACAAGAATAAGTTATGGGCTAGGGTTTAGGCTCTGATACCATGTAATTTTAGAGAAGAGAAAGAGTTGGGGAATGAGTTAGACTTCATTCCCTTTTATATTGATAATTGAGCAATTACATGCATAGTCTGAGTAATCAAAAAAAGGAATGAATAAGAATACAACCGACTATTTCCTATTCTAATACTTCTTATTCTAACAATTTCCTATTCTAACAGAGGGTGGGTAGGTAGGGTTTGCAGAACAAATGCTTATAGAAGATGAGTTGATTAGAAGAGGCTGCTGTCTGCTGATTGCTATAGTGTGTTATATCTGCAAGATTGATGGAGAATCCCTGGATTGTATTCTTCATTCTGTTGCAGGGGTTATACTCAGTTTAGTGTTTGTGTTAAGTGGTAGTTAGAGATGAGTACAAGAAAAATAGCTTGGAAAAGCAGCTCTGATGTGCTGTAAAAAATAAAAAAGGATAGACAATGATAGATGGTTATATACATTACCTGTAGTGCATGCGGCCCTGTTCTTGCTTCCATAATTTTTTTTAGACAAGTTTTTTACTAATATAAATTGTTCTTTAGAATACTCATGATTGACTGATTTACATCACAAGATCGAGTGCTCAATTGGTCACATGGTGTGTTTTTGATATTGTAGCACAAGAACCACCACATTATTTTCCCAATTGAATGATTTTATAAGATGAGTTGCGATTGAATGTATTTAGATTAGATTATAGAAGAGAGGAATAGGTGTATGCTCCATTAATGTTGAGGGGTTGTGATGCTGTGTATTTATTCCTTCCATCTATATGTTAGCAGCTACATTGTATTTGATTATGCTTCTACAGCTGGTGGATCATATAAAAGATCATGCTTTTTCTTCAATCACATATATGGATCTGTAAACATTCCTTAAATAGGATTACAGGGTTTGTTGTTCATGTTGTATTTGATCATTAGATGGGGGACCATGATGTGATGTCTACACAGTAGATAGAAAATGTTTAAAATCTTGATGAATGGATGATTATACATTTTTAGAAATACTAGTGGAATGATTAGAATTTCGAAGACACGAGAAATTAATACTTTCTAATTTTGCTTTTTAATTATATGTTGTTGATTTCGTTTATAATTCTGAATTAGTGTAAGCATCACACTTTAATGTTACGTTTTAATGGTTATTTCATGTGCGTGCACTTCATATGTATATAATGTAATATTTTCTCAGGTGGCTATGGTATGCATATTCTTTTATAAGTACCATTGATGGTTTTCTATATTTTTTGCATTTTGCAACTGTGGAATTTTAATACTAATTGAGTCAGTTTTTGTGAGATAGTTAAATGAAATGACATATAGGCTAAAGTAAGTTTTACAGCCTAGCATTGGTTTAGGCTCCCATGCTGCCATAATTGTTCTGGTGAAAGGGTGTGTGGCTCATTGGTGCTGGCACTCCTTTCGTGCTACAATGTTCATTCTGAATGTTGTCCGGGCTTGCATTCATCCAGAGTAGACCTGATCGAGATAGGTTGCTCAGTGGATAGTTTGGTAATCAGCTCGGCAGACGGGTCCGCACGAGACCTTTTGCCAGTGATTGATTGCTTTGAATACTTGA